ATTACTAGTTATACTTATTTACTTGTTATGAGTGTATTCAGCTTTTCCATTTACTCTTGAGTTAATATTTCTAATTTGTGTTGTTCTGGGAATTTGCCCATTTCAACTAAATTGTCTAATTTTGGGGGGTAAAGTTATTCATAAAATGAATAATATATAATGCTTTTAGTTTCTATAGGATCAATAATGCTATCCCTTCTCATTTCTAATTTTGATAATTTATATCTTTTTTCTTATTTTCTTAGTCAGGTTAGCTAGAGGTTTGTCAATTTTGTTGATGTTTTCAAAGAACCAACATTGTTTTTCTGTTTTCTATTTCATTAATTTCCACACTCAACTTTATCATATCCTTCCTTCTGCTCACTTTGGGTTTGATTTGCTTTTCTTTTTCTAGTTTCTTTTTTTTTTTTTTTTTTTTTATACTCACCCAAGGATATTTTTCCATTTTTTGTACAGATAGAGTGGGAGGGAGGGAGAGGAAGGGAGAGAGAGAGAGAAACATCGACGTGAAGGGACACATCGAGTGGCTGCCACCCGCACGACCAACCAGGGCCGGGGACAAACTGTAACCGAGGTACGTGCCCTTAGCGGGAACCGAACCCGGGTCTCTCCAGACCGCAGGCCGACGCTCTAACCGCTGAGCCAAACTGGCCAGGGCTCTTTTTCTAGTTTCTTAATGTGGAAGCTTAGGTTACTGATTTGAGACTTTTTTTTCTTTTCTAAGATGGGTGTTTACAGCTATAAATTTCCCTTTAAGCAATACTTTAGATGCATCTTATAAATTTTGATATGTTATGTTTTTGTTTTCATTTTCAAAATATTTTAAATTTCTCCTGTGATTTCTTCTTTGCTTCACAGGCCATTTAGAATGTTATTTCCAGATAAATGAGTTTTTCTAGATATTTTTTTCTGTTGTAAATTTCTAATTTAATTTTGCTTGTGGTCAGAGAAGATACCTAATCTTTTAAAATTTGAGACTTGTTTTATGACCCAGCATAACATCTATCTCGGAAAATGGGCCACGTGTGCTTGAGAAGAACATGTATTCTGTAGTCGGTGGGCACAGCATCATAGGAGTGGTGGTTATGTCAAGTTGGTTGATAGTGTTGTTCAAATCATCTGTACCCTTCTATAACCTTGCTTTTCTACCTCATTGTTCTATCAACTTTGTTTAACCTTATTTTTATTGTTGACATATTACAGATGTCCCCATTTTCGCCTTTGCCCACCTCCACCCAGTTCCCAAACCCCTTCCCTGGCCATTACATCATAGTTGTCTGCGTCTATGGGTTATGTATACATGTTCTTTGGTTCATCTCTTCACCTTCTCTCATCCAGTACCCACTCCCTTCCCCTCTGACAGCAGTCTGTTCCATGTTTCCATGTCTCTGATTCTATTTTGTTCATCCATTTATTTTGTTCCACATATAAGTGAGATCATATGATATTTGTCTTTCTCTGACTGGCTTATTTCACTTAGCACAATAATCTCCAGGTCCATCCATGATGTCACAGATGGTAAGAGTTCCTTCTTTTTTTACACCATGGAGTATTCCATTGTGTAAATGTACCACAGCTTTTTTTATCCACTCATCTGCTGATGGGCACTTGGGCTGTTTCCAGATCTTGACTATTATAAATAATGCTGCTATGAACCTAGGGGTGCATATATTCTTTCTGTTTAGTGTCTCAGGATTCTTAGGATATATTCCCAGAAGTGGGATCGCTGGATCAAAAGGCAGCTCCATTTTTAATTTTTGGAGTAAGCTCCATACTGTTTTCCACAGTGGCTACACCAGTCTGTATTCCCACAGTACTGGAATCTTCAACTATTATTGCTTCTCCTTTCTATTCTGTCACTTTTTGCTTCATATCATTTGGGCTACTATGTTAGGTATGTATACATTTATAACCATTCTATCTCCCTAATGTATTAACCCTTCTATCACTATGAAGTGTCCCTGTTTTTCTCCAGTAATATTTCCCACCATAAAGTCTAGTGTGTCTGATTTTAATAAAGTCACTCCAACTAGCTCTCTTTTAGCCCCTGTTTGCATGGTTACGTTTTTCCATCCTTTTGCTTTCAGCCTATTTGTGTCTTTGAATCTAAGGCGTATCTCTTGTAGACAGCATATAGTTGGGTCTTGCAAGCTTTTTTATCCAATAACAATCTCTGACCGTTGAGTGGCGTATTCAGTCTATTTACACTTAATGTGATTATTGATGTGACTGCTAGCAACAAAGCTCTCAGTCTTTAATTGGGAGAGTCTTTATTTCTCATTCACATTTTTGCTGTATATAGAATTCCTGGTTGGAGATTTTTCTTTCAGCATTTCGAATGTGTCATCCTCCATTGTTTTTAATGAGAAGTCATCCATTAACCCTATTTTTTTTTCTGTCCTTCTTTCCTCTTCTTCTGGAATTCTTTTTTCTTTTTAATCCTCACCTGAGGATATTTTTTCCTTTTCTCTTCAGATAGAGTGAGAGGGGGAGAGAGAGAAAGAGAGAAACATCGACGTGAAAGAGACACATCGACTGGCTGCCTCCTGCATGACCTGACCAGGGCCGGGGACCGGACTGCAACCAAGGTACGTGCCCTTGACCAGAATCAAACCCACGACTCTTTGGTACACGGGCTGATGCTCTAACCACTCACCCAAACTGGCCAGGACATGGAATTCTTATTATAAATACATGGCTGTACTTGATGTTGTCCCACAGGTCTCTAAGCCTCTGTTTATATTTCTTCAATAAAAAAAAAAAAAAAAATCTTTGTTCTTTAGATTGAATAATTTATTTTGGTCTACCTCCTGGCTTACTTATTTTTCCTTCTGCCATCTCAAATCTATTATTGAGTTACCTCTAGAGAATTTGTCATTTCATTGCAGTTATACTTTTCAACTCCAGATTTTCTATTTGGTTCTCTTTTTAAAAATCATTTCTATCTCTTTGTTGAGATTGTGTATTCATTGAGCCTTCCCGTGAATTCTTTACACGTGGTTTCCTCTCTATGTCTGAACATATTTAAATAGCTGCACTGCAGTCTTTTTCTGCTAAGTTGTAGATCTGAGGACACTCAGACATAGTTTCTATTGACTGCTTTTACTTGTGCATAAATCACACTTTCTTGTTTCTCTGAATGCCTCTAATTTGTTGTTGAATAATGAACACTTTACATAATATATGGTAGCAACTCAGAATTCTGACTTCCTCCCAGGGCATCATCATTGGTATTGTTTTGCTTGTTCAGTAATTTTCCTGGCCTAAGTCTATAAAATCTGTCTCCCAATATAAGGTACACTGCTGAGGTCTTCACCTACTTTTTTTCCTTGTCTTTGTTTTAAACCTGCTTTCCTAGGGGTCACCCTCATATCTGCATAGCTTAGTGCTCCAGCAAAGACAAGTCGGAAGTTTTGCTCACACACCTTGAGCCAGAAAGACTTCTTCTCTCTGCTTATGGCTGTGTGTGGGGCTGGGGAGCACATTCAAATTTCAGGCGGTTTTCATGTCTGCCCTGACCCTTACTTTCTGCCAGCTCTCTGATATCTCCTCTGCGTGTACACACAAGCTCTGCTGGCCAGAGATGTGTGGATGTCTTCGGCACCCTCCATCTCTGCTGCTCGTGCACACAGACTAAGGTCAGTCTGGGATACAAGGAGACTATCAAGCCCCTGATGGCCCTCTCACCTCTCAGACCTACCGAGTATGTCCCCAGCCAGACCACTGGTCCATTGCCCCAAAGAGGACTGTGAACTCCAGGCAGTGGAGCTACTGGCTCTCCTTGTTCATTTACTACTGACATGGCCACTTTAACTGGAAATACTCCAAATGGAATATTCTGGAAGCACCAACAGGCTGCTGGTTTTCACCGCCTGCCCGGCTCTGGTTAAAATATCACAGACAGAGCTGGGGAGGAGGGACTGGAAGCAACCTTAGGCGAGAATGCCACAGACTCCTGCGCGCCTACCCAGAGCCCTGCAGTTTTCATGAACAAATAAACGCTTCTCGGTTTGTTGTATGCTTTCGGTCAATTCTTAGAGAGCTAAAATGGGTTTTTTGCTTATTCTAGCTTTCTAGCTGATGTTGAGGGGAGAGGATTTGTCAATCGACTCATTCTGTCAGGTGGAAGTCGGTACCCCAGCCACTCTTCACGTTCTGCTGGAATTAGATTTAGTAATGCTCTTAAAAAGTAGACCACGCAGGTGCAAATACCACTGTGAAATCTTATTTTCAAATAAAAATGCGAGCCTCTGTTTTCTGCGGGGAGAGCAACCAACCAACAGAGAGACGACTACAGGCACTCGTTTCAATGACTTCGGTAGATTAAATTAACTAGGAAATGCCACGCCTCGGAAGCAGCACCTCGGGCCCTGCCACCCGGCTCCTTCACAGACGTTAGAGAAACGAAACGCGCCCCTAGAAGGAACTGGTCCCGTGAAGGTGCCGTGTCCCTCAGCTGCTTTTCCGCTCCTTCAGCCTCTTCCTCTTTCCCCACCTCTCTAACCTGTGCTTCAGCCATGGTCACTCAGGTACATACGGGCATTCATAACAGTCCCTGTTGTGAAGCCTTCGCCCAAGTGCCCCAAACTGGTCACTTGCCGATTTCCCTTTCTCTGTCACCTCTGATGGGCGAGGCCTGGCAAGCCTGCTGAGTTCCGGACACGGCCGCAGCCCCCCGCAAGGAAGAGCAGAACTTCCCGTTCATGCAGGAGTCCAGTCTTAGAATTGGAGAAGCTTTAGAGATTTTTTTTTTTTTTTTTGGCAAAACTGCTCGTGTTCAGATGGAGAAATTAAGGCTCAGGAAAGTTAAGGGGTTACCCAGGTCACCCTCCAGGAGCATGATAAAGGCCTCAGGAGTTGTTACCTGAATGAGGATCGGGCTGAGGGCCAGTGATGAGAAATGATTTCATGAAGATCAAACCTGACATGACACAGGCTCTGAGGACACTGGATGCCAAGGCCCCTGAGATCATTTTTTCCCATCCCCCTCTCTCTCTTACCTTAGCAAAGAAAATCCAAGCTGCACACTGCCCCGGGGCCAGAAGGCTCTTTAGCTTCACTGTGCTGAACATGAGAAAGAATCCTAAAAATCCACTGGAAGGAGAAAATATTTTTTTTGTTAGTGAGGCTTATCTTCTCTGAGCCAATAGGTAACTATTTTCTATTACATTTTACCAGTCAGTTTCTAATTACTACACACCTATTTCATCTGGTTTTCTAGTGATCTCCAAATAACAACACCCAAATTTAAAATCCACTAAGCTCTACCTTTCTAAGGGGCTATGATGAGAGCATTTTACTGGGGAGGGGAGAATAGAAATCTGGGAGGTCTCTGGTTAAATCATGACAGAAACAGTGTGGAGGATAATACCTCCTGCCCCCTCCCACACTACTTTTGGAGCCTGGTGCTTGCCAAGGTAGGGCTTCAGTTTTTTTCAAGCAGAACAAACTGCCAGGAAAAGAATCCCACAGGGAAATTCACCAGTGAGAACAGAGGGTCTGTGCTGTGCTGGCCCCTGGGCTCAAGGTAAGAATCTGAAAGGGGAGGGCTGGCTCCATCACAGAAAGCCCCAAACCAGGCCTCCCTACACGACACTGCTTTGGGAATGACGCCTAAGCCCAGGTGTGCGACCTGAGGGAGCCTCCGCCATGTGGGGCTGGGGCTGGGGCAGCATCTCGGGGGCTCCTCAGAGGTCGGCACCAGCAAGGCACTGGCACAGCCGTGGATGGGGAAGTAGTGGCCTGGGCTTGGACCATTTTCAAAAGTGTCACTGTGTGGCCAAGCCCAAAGCAAAGGAAACTCCAAACAGAACAGTCACTCTTCCTGACATCTGGAGGCAGGGTGATGGGGGAAGAAAGTATGGCAAAGAGACTCCAGGATAGAAGCTGACTTCCTGCAAAAAATGCAAGTGGGGAGTGAGTGTGACTCTTATGTGGAACTGAAAACTGAAAGGCAAGAGCATGACTGCAATGGTGCCCCGAACCAAAGAGGCAGGCCTTACGTGCCACACCGCCATTTGACCTTTATAGGCACCGGTGTGGCTCCAACTCCGATCGTGAGCTCTGAGCGCGCAGGGCCTGATCTTGGGCTCCTCTGTATCTTCCCCAGCGGGCCAACCATGGGACCTTGGTCATGGTAGGCATTACATGTCAATGTTCGACAGGCTTACTTGAAAGCAGCTTGAATAAAATAGGCCAAATTTCACAGAAAGGTGTGCCTTCACTTTATTAGATTAGATCAATTCAGAGCCACATCCTAGGGGCAGGACCAGAGACGGGCATCAGGCTTCCAACCTGGGTCTCTATGAGCCTGTTCGGCCTGGTTGACCTCAGATTTGTTCAGATTTGCATTTGCAGTCATGGGAGGCAGGGTAGCTATGGATTAAGACATTGAGTCACTCAAACCTGAAAGGCAAGAAGGCCCTTGTGGGAAGTAGCAAGCTGGAAATCAAGGACCTGAAATTTCTGTGCTTGGCTGTACTCACTGACCCTTGTAACATTGACAACAATCCCTTTTTTGCCTTTTTCCCTTTTATTTCTTGCTCCAGGTGCTATGTTCTTAAAGTAGGAATGAACATAGTGGTCCCTAACCTACATTATGGAAACCAGGGATTTTCAGAACAGAGAGGTTCCCCAGCTCCAAGTCTTACTTTATTAACAGGCAAACTGAGGCACCGGTACAAGGTTTCCTGGCTCCTTCAGTAATTCTCCACGGCTCTTCAAACCCCACCATGGATGCTCTTGAGCAGGAAGACGGGGTGAGCTGCTGCAGGTGCCGTGGCTGAGATTGGGAGTGGAAAGCCAGGCAGCCAGTGCTCAGGGCTCTTTTGGTGGCATCCACCCCCTGCGTCCAAGGAGCTAACAACTTCACAGGTGCCTGTCCAATCTCCCATACCTCCTTCCCTTCCGGTCCTTTCCTCTCCTCTCCACCTCCAGCCAGAGGAAGGCCATGATGCCCCGCTGCCCTCTCCCCTCAGCACAGACCTCGAGAACTCCTGGTTTCTGACCAACATGCTCAGGAAAGTATCTATGACTCGCTCCCATCACTCGACCTGCGTGTCTATGAATCACTTCTAAACCCCTGGATCCTTACCTCCTCCTCTCATTTTCAGCTCCTCTACCTCTTGCTGAGGAGGCAGATCTTAAAACCAACGGGAGGACACCAGAAGCGAAAGAGCTGGGGTTCCCTGTAATGGGGTGTCCAGGTCATGGCTACTACTACCATCCTCTCAGACTTCCATGACCCCTCTGAGCTCCCCCAGCACCTGGAGGAGCCATGAGATGAGACGGAGAAAAGCAACACGTTCTTTAAAGAGGTTAAGCTTAGCACCGAGGCCAGGGAGTAAAATGTAACAGAGAAGTACATCGATTCAAATGAATATCTCCAAATCTTTCAAATAAGAATTCCTGATTTTTCGCGCTGGTTTAGGAGAAAGTTGCAGATTAAAAGAGACAGAAATGGAGCCAGAATGTCATCCCACAGAGCCAACACCAACGGCTGTGACTGTGTTGCTCTATGCAAAGAACCGTATCTCCTCACAACCTGTTTGCTCACGCTGCCAAGTAACCACAGGCAAACCAGTCCCTGGGCACGGGAACAGTGCTAACACTCAGGCCACACAACCTCAGTGACAAGGCCCGGTCGAATGGAGAGGAACCGGGAAGATGCATTCTGTCAGTGTTCTCCTGGAATTTTTTGGAGGATGATAAAGAAATCATTCTGAGGCTCAAATTCAGAAGCAAACTCTTTATGATACTGATTTTGGGGTCCTAACCCTCCCCCCATTGGAAACAGTACCTAGCTACAGATCAGCTTTTGGACTCTCTGTAAAGAATCACTGCTTGACAAGGCACAATCCCTTGTGTGTGGAATTAGGTGGTCTGACTTTTATGTAGCAATTGCTCATGGTTTGTTGGCATTTTATTCATAGTGACTCGAGCAGATAATAATAATGGCGATCAGGTACTGGGCCGGCCACAATGCTTAGGGCGTTAAATGCCTTATTCAATACACACATCACCTGCATTGCTATTATTTTTCCGTTTTGCAGATGAGGAAACTAAGTGAAGGCTTGGGAGAACCAGGATGACCTGACCAGAGACCACACAATTAGGAAGCAGCAAAGCTGGAATTCAACCCAAGTCTGGTTTCTCCACCATATCTGAATACAAGCTTTGCGACTGTCCCCAGAAACCTTCCCACTTCTGAGCATAATAATTAAGTCAAACAAAGGGGGGAGTGCAGCAGGAGAAGGGAGACAGGATGGCTATTACCTTCCATGTACCTAATTCTATCCATTTAATTGGTCTACATCCTGAATACATCCCTGAATACTTCCCAAGGCCAATATTAAAGATCACCTTGTCCAGACATCTCCTACTCAGTGGTTTCCAAAATCTGTTTCTTATAGCCTTGGGGTTCAGTTGAGGGGTTTTTTTGGAGGTTGCCCTTCAGGAGCAAGAAGGAGGCCAAGGTGAGGATAGGATTGTGCACCCAAGTCTTCCCTGAACTCAATCAGTTTCGTCAGTGTTATATACTGAAGTTAAAAGAATTGCTTGTGGAGGAAAAAAAACAAAAGTCGGGAAATCCTAGCTCTTCAGCAAGTATGAAAACCACTGCTGTGGCCTAAAATCTTATGCAGGACAGGGGTCCTCGAAGGCCCCAAGCCAGCCCGGTGCACCGGAGGGTGTGCAAGCAGCCCACGCGCCTGCACCCGCCACCACTGGGCCACACATTGGGCTAACCGGCAGTGACCCTGGACGTCACTGAAATGAAGACACGGCAGGTAGCACAGAAACACAAACTAGTAGTGCAAGGGTTTTATGAGGTAAGATTACCTGGCACAGCAGCTGCCATGGAATTTGTAGAAATACAGGAACGGAAAGTCCAGGACGCTGAGGAGATCACCTGAGGGGCACAGCAAGGGTGAAACAATGCCCACATGCCCGCAGCCCCAGCTGTCCCAAAGCGCAAGGCGACCCCTCAGCACAGCAGCCCTCCGAGCGCTGAGCGGCCAGCACCGAACTCACGCGGGCGCCTAGGCTTTCTACGTTACTGACACTTTTTTATTATAATAATAGTATGGTAATAATGATGCCCATTGAATGAGAGTCTGCCCTGGGCAGGGCTCCATGCTAAAAGCTTAATGTATATCATTTCTTTCAATCCTTATAACAACTCTGAAATTTTGTTGTTGTTTTTTAATTGTTGTTGTTGTGTTTTTTTTTAATCTTTATTGGTTTTAGAGAGGAAGGGAGAGGGAGAGAGATAGAAACATCGATGAGAGAGAACATTGACTGGCCGCCTCCTGCATGCCCCCCACTGGGGATTGGGCCCACAACCTGGGCATGTGCCCTGCCCGGGAATCCAACCGGCGACCTCCTGGTACGTGGGTCAATGCCCAACCACTGAGCCACACCGGGTGTAACTCTGAAGTTTTAGTCCCCGCATTTTAACCGGAGCTCAGAGCAGTTAAGAGATTTGCCTAAGGCTGCACAACTCCAGCTGCGGAGCCACAGTGTGAACCCCTGGCACTCGCAACCCTAGGACCTTCCTCTGCGCCAAGCAGCCATCCCTGCCCAAGGCAGAGTGTACGACAAAAAAAAAAATCTTTTTTTCAAAAGATTCTTCTATTCTCTTCTGCCTTCTGTCTTAAAAAAGATTGTGAATGCATGCCTCTGACATCTTTTTTCATGTTTGTGTTTAATTACTGCTCAAACGGTGCAGGGGCCAGACCAACCACGCATACTCATTTTAGTTTAAGGTCCAAAGGGTACATTTATTTCTCGTGAAGTAAGTTCATTCTTTTAGTTCCACTTGGTGCAAGAGGAAATAATCACACATACTGGCCGCTTCCCTCTCTGGAATTTGAACTTGGTCACAAACAAGAAGTCAGGAGATTAAAAAGGCAGAAAGCCTTCCAAAAATGTCCAGAGAAAAGGAATTAAGCATTTCCACAGCAGACAGCTTAATCCTTCCAAATCTGGAATTTCTGAGGCACGGGAGGAGCCCGGCCTTCCAGGCCCCCAGCCCGGCCCGTCTCTCAGTTCCGGATGGACTGGAGCAAGACAGGCTGGTTTTTCTGAGTAGCCACAGTATGTGAGGTGTACAGTGGGATGTACAGGCAGTATTTCCCTCATCACTACACGTATTAGTCAAGAGCTTCAGGACAAAAGCCCCAACGGTCTGCTACATTTCTTCAGACCTAAATGACTTCAAATGATTCAGCCATCTAGTACTGGAAGCAAAGTTCCAAATTCCATTTCTCTGGAGGGTTGGGTTTTTTTTGTTTTTGTTTTTTCATGACTATTGTTTTGCTCCATTTAAGCATATGTGTGTGTTTTTAGCTAAAAGGAGAGGGTCTCATGGGATCTCGTTTTTGTGCACCCCAACAGGAGGTTAAGCGTTCTTGTCCTCTTTCTGCCCTGATTCCACTGAGTACCTTTGTCACCTACTTGGGACCTATCTTGGTGGAGGAACTCAGTAAGTGGCAACATCGGGCTCAGACGTCTGGTGCATGAAGACCACCCACTGAAGTCCCTTTCCCCGCAGACGTGGGCACCCAGTCCTCAAGGGCAGCCAGAGCCCCTGCTCAGGTGAAGGAAGACAGGTTCATGGAGGACTCGCTGTCTCTGGCTTTGCTGGTTCTTGGTCCTTTCCCAAATTCCCTCTCAGTGTGAGAGGAACTGCAGTGTGGTCAGTGTGACAATGAGGATGGGCAGAGAGGGACATCAGTGAAGCTGAGGACCTCGAGATTCCTTGGGAACTGCCTCTTCTCAGCACCCAGCCTTCCATCAGGAGGTGAACTAGACTCAGGGTGCACTGGTGACCTTTCCAGCCCACCCAGGCTGTGCAGGGGTCAGCGGTAGACAGGAAAGAGGATACAAAAGAAGTCACCATCCTAGGTAATTCACCAGTTAAATGAAAGCCCTCACCTGAATCCTGAACACTGATACAATAAATTATCGCGAGAGAGAACAGTTCGCTCTTTGAGCCATTTCTCACACGGCACTGAGCTGACTTCATGCCTGTCCTCCTCCTAAAACTGTGAGTCCTTGGAGCAGGGACTCTTGCTCACTGCTTGCACCCACTGTGTGTTAGCACCCTCCCTGACACAATCATCACTACTGAACTGAGACTATCAGAGAGACCCAGACCCCTCTCTTGCTTCCTTTGGAGAGAATGTTCTAAACACTTTCCAGTTGAATTGCTGGTCCTCAGTCTCAAATCAATCCAAGTGCCTGCCATCTGGCGCCTTCAGCCTGCCTCCTATTTTAATGAAGTAGCGCCCTGACCCAGCCAGGGTGCATACCAACCTCTACACAGCCAGGGTTAACAGCTGTACTATAAACAGCCCTGAAGCTGACCCCAGCCACAAAAATTTAGTAATTTTTTAATTTACTAGAAAATTAGTAAAGATGCTCCAAGAAATAGCATTCCTGCACCATCGCGTGCAGAATGCACAACGTGGGCACAAATGAATGGCTCGAGAGCTGCAAACATGTTTTGTGGTGTGAGCATGCAGCCGATGCAGCCACGTCATTCTTGTGCCCACAGCTTGAACCCTGCTGGCTCTCTGGGGGAGGGCGGGAACCCCACTTCTCTGAAGATCACAGAGCATGGAGCTGCCACGGTGAACATGGGGTGCAGTTTCACCGCATTCAGGCACAATTGATATTTGAACATCAAGAAGATTTCCTCTCGCTGCATTTAGCCCTCAGAACTGGCAGGAAAATGGAAGATTGGTTCCAAGAAGTGATTACTGTTGCTTGCTTTATCTCACGCACGAGCAACAGATACACAGGGTAACAAGGTCACTTCCGGGTCGGATTCCTGTGGCTCCCCTGCTCTTCCGTGCCTTGAGATTCTCTCTCTTGACCACCAATCAGTGGGGCCCCGTACAAATATGAAATGCAAACTTTCCAGCATGGGAAGAATTTATCTTCTTTTTTACTGCTTAAAACGATCCAAGGGGAAGGAAGGTTCCCAGATTCTTGGAGCCTCTGCATGAACCAGGAGGTGGAAAGATTAGAGGGGGAGGGGGATTACATGCACCAAGAAGGAAACTCAGGGCCTGCAGGGGAAAGTGGCAGGGCCTGCACCTAGGACATGAGAACTATTACCTGGTCCCTCCCATCATGTCCCAAGGCACCCCAAAGGTTGTAACGTAAGCCACAGCACCTGCACCTACAAGAAAGCTTATCTTTCTGGTTACTCGTGAGCGAGCGAGAAGGGCAGCTCAGTCGAAAGCGCTGCTGAGAGACCAGGATCCACCCACGAGAATAACCAAGGCAAGACTGACGACAAACGCTGGTGGAGATGGGGAGCAACCGAAACTCTCATTCATGTCTGAGTGGGAGTGTAAATGGTACGGCACGTTAGAACACTGGCATTTCTGCCCTCTGCTGTGGACACCAGAGTCGCAGCCAGGCTCATGAGACCAGCAACATCCGTCTCAGAAGCCAACTTTCTATATCCAGTCTCTTCAAAGATACCACCTCAGCTACCTGAGGACTGCAACAACCCAAAGACACAGCCAGAAGTCCTTCCAGGGACGCCGCTCCCTAGTGAATCCCACAGATTTTACAACTCCCTGAGCTGCCCCACAGACCTACCCGCAATCATTCACCATATGATGAATCAAAGCCTGCAGAAGGAATGGAAAATGAGCATCTGATGTCTAATGTCCATTATTCTCTTTTGACTTAAAAATATAATTTAATTATATTTAAATAATTAAGGGTTAAGAAAACTTAATCCTTGCAAACATCTTTTTCAGGCATACCTGAGCTCCAAACAGGTTCTCGAAGAAGAGAGATTTCCTTTCATATCCCGTATAGACTTTGTTGTTGAGATATAATTCATATACTATAAAATCCACCCTTTTAAAGTCTACAGTGCAGTGGTTTTTACAATGTATTCACAGAGTTGTGCAACCATCACCACCACCTAATTCCAGAACATCCTCATCACCTCCAAAAGAAACCAGAGCCTATTTTAAATTACTCTTCAGCCCAGGCCAGTCTATACGTTTAGGCTGCTGATCCCTTTGTGTTCCAGAGAGTAACTAAGTGCCCAAGGTATTCTAGCATTGACCTGAAAGTTTAGCAATAACTCAGGTGAAATGTGGGAATGTTACTTAAAATGTATAAATGGTTCCCAGCAATCACCATGCTTGGCAACTGGTGGACAAAATGCCCTCCAAACCAAGACAAACCCCAGAAAGAAATTTAGGAATATCAGACAAAAGTATTCACTAACTCAGGAGATTTTATAATAAAGTGTACAATCATTAAAAAGAAAGCATTTAGCCCTGGCCTGTTTGGCTCAGTGGTTACAGTGCCGGCCTGCAGACTGGAGAGTCCCGGGTTTGGTTCCTGCTGAGGGCACGTACCTTGGTTGTGGTTTGCCCTGGCTCCGGCTGGGGTCATATGGGTGGCAGCCACTTGATGTGTCTGTCTCACGTCAATGTTTCTCTCTCTCTCTTTCTCCCTCTCCCCCTCCCGCTCTATCTGAAGATAAATGCAAAAATGTCCTCAGGTGAGGATTAAAAAAAGGGGGGGGGGCATTTAAAAAACCTGGACAGCCCGGCCAGTGTAGCTCAGGGGTTGAGCATCTACCCATGCACCAAGAAGTCACCTATTCGATTCCCAGTCAGGGCACATGCCCAGGTTGTGGGCCTGATCCCCAGTAGGGGGCATGCAGGAGGCAGCCAATCGATGTTCTCTCTCATTGATGTTTCCATCTCTCTCTCCCCCGCTTCCTCTCTCTCTAAAATCAATAAAGAAAAAGAAAAAGAATAATAAAAAAATAAAATAAAAAAGCTGGACAGAGGGTCAGGAGACCGACTTAAACTCTAGTCTCCCTCTGGACTCACCTCCCCCACATTATCTTAGTCTCCTCACTTAACTCCTCTGGGCTTCGAGTTCCTCATTTGTAAAATGTCGTGACACCTGGATAATCACTAAGCTTCCTTGCAGCTCTGATAAGCACGAGTGTAACCAATGAAGAAGCATAACCATTTAGTTGAAAGGCAGAGTGATTTCTTTAGGTAAAAATGATTCACCAAACCCACTAGAAATCGCTCAGGGAGTAAATGAACATGTCAACCAAGGAGAACCAGCGCACATAACTTTCCAAAGGCCTTGACTAAACCACATTTCAGATGGGGAGGATGCTTAGCAGGCTCTTAAGTATCTGTTGGGTAGCAACCTCCTGGCTGCATGAAGGCGAGGCAGGATTTACAGGCAGACCACCAGCAGGGTGGGGAATCAGTACTGGTTAAGGATAACACAATGGTTACGTTTGATTTCTCATATTACAAATGATAGGCTTTCAACAAATAATCGTGGAGAGGGCACTCAACAGCAGCGTCGCAGCTGAGCGAGCACCGGGCCGTGGGCGGGCGGCAGGCGTGCTTCTGGTGGGCAAGTGCAGAATGATGCGTTGAGAGAAAAGCAATCCAAATTATCCTGATGAGACACGGGTCTGATTCTGTCGTGAACAATCTAGAAACATTATCCGAGTCACTACCAATAGTTCCCTAAGGACACCAGTTCAAATAGTGCGAAGCAGCTAAAAACACCAACAGATAGCTGTCATTATTCTGGGCACAACATGTGACCTAAGAGGGGCTTTAGAAATAGTCCAGTCCAGCCTGGCCGGTGTGGCTCAGTGGTTGAACATTGACCCATGCACCAGGTGGCCACTGGTTCGATTCCTGGTCAGGGCACATGCCCAGGTTGTGGGCCTGATCCCCAGTCGGGGGCATGCAGGAGGCGGCCAATCTATGTTCTCTCTCATCGATGTCTCTATCTCTCTCCCTCTCCCATCCTCTCTCTCTAAAATCAATAAAGAAAACTTATTAAGAGAAATAAAAGATGAGTGATGATGTAGGTGAAAGTGTAAAAATACATTTATAAAATACAATAAAAAAATAAATAATCCAGTCCACTTTTTCATTTCACAGATAAAAGAACCGAGACCCTGAGGGTTTGGGAACTGCCTTATGCATAGCAAATGGTCAATATACATTAATTTAAGGAGGGTGATCAATAAAATATGTATTTTTAGCCATATCACACGCAGATATTGTTGCTTTATCTTTGGCATCAACTTCAAAACCTTTCAAAGTAAAAAAAAAACACTCTGAAATAGAGTTATTGTGAGCAATTCCTGAGTCTGAAAAACAACTATGGCGTAATTAATGCAGCAACAGGGTAAAGGTAAGTTTTAGAACGTGACTTCTTTAACCTGGAATGATGAAGATGAGGTGACAACATATGCTTAAAATGGTAAAAGGATGTCAGTTAGAAACAAGGTGAATTTGAACTTTTTCACCAAATGCTTTTGCCCTACAACTGAAGAGCCATTCTGGCTGCTTAAAGGACTCGGAAGAGGACAACGCAAGCGCTAGTTTACCCTGCAGACATGAAACCTGTCCGCACAGCTGTGACTGCACCAGACGAAAACATACACAACAAAATTCAAGAAGGCATAGGAATAAATAAATACAGGGCAATCACTCCGTAGTGGGTTATGAAGAACAGTTTCAAGTATGTGGGTCATTTCTAACCCCTGAGTCTGACATCCTGGAAAGCAACCCCATTCTCCTCCAAAATGTCCCTGAGAGATATAACAAGGGTCAGGGTACTGCATTGAATGGGCAACAGAAAACAAACAAATAAAATAACGTTTACCTGTGGGATGAGATGCAAATGCCAGGAGCACCACACTGAAAAAGAAACACAGAGTAGTGAAGAAGGCTTCCCCGGCTCTGTGAAAACAACATGTACTTCCAACCATTCTACTTGGAAATAGTGATGTTGGCCTAAAGCATCTGCACTGAACGCTCTCATTCTGTCTAAACCCAACTCCTCAGTGAGAGAGTGAGAGTCTCTCAAAATGCTTCAAGTTTGAGCCAGAGGGTTGAATCTACCCTGTGACAGACTAAGGATCTATGCCCCACTCTGAGGGTCAGCCATGCCGCTAGTTATCATCACACTCACCTCACCTACAAAGAGTATCTATCTGTAAGCTAAACCAAGTAAACTCTAAGTTACAAATAGGCTGTGCTCTAAGAGCTAGCTGTTGAACCTGAGCTAAGTCTATTTTTGCCACAAAATCAACTGCATAGAAGGTAAGTTAAATGTCCAAGAAGCTAGCCCACAAAATGATCCACCCCATCACCATGTGCCTGAAAACTACCTGAACTGATCTGCAATTGATGCCAAAAGGAATGCAAAAGAGAAGGAGCAGAGTTCCTCCGCATTCATCCTTGGCACCCTTCCATCTGCCTCTCCAGAAGCTTCTCCATCTCCCGGTGCCCAGCCACAGAGCCTTCAGGGCCCTAAGCCCACCTTCTCTGCTCTCTTCCATCTCTAGGCCACGCCATCCAGGCAGCTGATCTAGTCGGAGGTTAGGAATAAAACTTTCCATCTAATACTAATATAAGAGGCATATCATGCCAGATAAACAGCAGACCTTTTCAAGTCATTCATTCAACAAATATTTATCGAGTGCCTATTAAGTGCCAGGTACTGTTCTAATTTAGGCTCACAGCAGTGAACAAAACAGAAGACAGCCCTTTACTCGTGGGAAATGAAATGGAGACATGTGAGAAAAATATAATCTCCACAGGCTAACCTCCAATACACTTTTTTCTATACACAAGTCAAACCCCAGAGAGAACACCTGTCTACTTCCCTTTGACACAAACACACACATACACACAATTTCATCTGCAAAGTAAGGAGGTGAGGTATGAGCAGAGAGCATTGTGGTAGTTTTCTATTTAATAGATAAGAAGAGACTAGTGTTTATTTATATTTAAAAAAAAAAAAAGGGCCCTGGCCGATTTGGCTCAGCGGTTAGAGCGTCGGCCTGCGGTCCTGAGAGACTCGGGTTCGGTTCCCGCTAAGGGCGTGTACCTCGGTTGCAGTTTGTCCCCGGCCCTGGTCGGTTGTGCGGGTGGCAGCCACTCGATGTGTTCCTTTCACATCGATGTCTCTCTCTCTCTCTCTGTTCCTCTCTCTCCCTCCCGCTCTACCTGAACAAAGGATGGAAAAATGTCCTCAGGTGAGGATTAAAAAAAAAAAAAAAAGGTACACCCTGGCCGGTTTGGCTCAGCAGTTAGAGCGTTGGTCGGTGGACCAATGAGTCACAAGTTCGATTCCAGTCAAGGGCACGTACCTTGATTGCGATTCATCCCCGGCCCTGGTTGGGGTCAGGAGGGAGGCAGCCACTCAATGTGTCCATTTCTCATTGATGTTTCTCCCTCTCTCCCCCCCTCACACTCTATCTGAACAAAAATGGAAAAATGTCCTCGGGTGAGGATAGAAAAAAGAAAGGGTGCTTAGCCATACCTCCCATAATATTCATTCCTTATCAATTACCTAAATTCCTCAAAACGCTGATCAAAGCCATACCATTTTTAGACATTCCATTTCTTTTCAGCCCCATATACAACTTCCTCCTTCATCCCTTCCCCTGTACCTTGGGCCTTAGACCTCTACCTATAAGAGAAACAGGAACAGGAGAAAGTACATCTTCAAGAAAAGAGGAGTATGTGCCAAAGCAGAGAACCGTCCAACTACTTGGCTCTCTCAATAAAATGAAGAGACCAAACCAGATCTTGGCCCTGGCAGCAGAGCGGCGGGCCAGCACCTACAAGCACAGCTGCCCCGTTGGTCTGAGCCACCGCCGATCTCTGGGTGTGATGCCCTCAGAGGCCAGTGCTGTGCTGAATGGACAGGGCCCCTCTTTCTGATTCACGCATCTTCATCACTTGTGCTGAAAGAAGACTTGGAAATAGAATCGTGGCTTCAGCCATGGGCTCTGCCAGGAAGCCTCGAGCACCAGGCTCACATGGGGTGCAGGAGCTGGGAGGGAGGGAGGACAGGAGAACTGGCCGAGGGTCACAGAGGCTCATTATTCCACCCCTTTTCCCTCTGCTGCTCAAGTTGGTGTAAGCTCCGTGCAGAAAAAGAGCTGCCTAACGAGGTCCAGTGACACAAAAGTCTCTTGAATAGGCAGCTGCGGGGTCTGGGCAGAGTGGAACTGATGACTGTTTTCAACGGAGCACAAAAGCGGCCCACAGCCATGCCCAGGGTGAATCCTGCTTTCAAAAAGGTGTTTCAGTAAACACTAAGATATTTATGAGCTTTATCTGAAGACGGAAAATACAGCTCTCAAGTGTGCAAGCTGAGTGACTTCCTTCAGAAATGCTGAGAGGCGCCTCTCTGACCTTGGTGCTCTCTACTGAATGTTGCTGCTGCATTAGGGTGCACTGGGGTTCCCAGCGGCAGTTCTCGCCCTGCTTCCCAGTTAGGTCCCACAGTGCACCGTCTGAGGCTACTCAAGTCCAAGAGCGCTCCCCAGCTATTCCAGTTGGCAGGCAGAGCCCTGTTCTTTGCTTAGCTGGGAGCGAGGGTACAAACAGAAATCCACACACCATATTAAAATGTCAAGCTTCAAACGTCATCCTACCTGAACAAATATACCCTCAAAACAACCTGGAGGGCCCAATTAAAATTTAGAATTCTTGGAGTCCCTGGGGCTTCCTGTCAGAATGTGGCACCATGGGGGACCCTGTCTCTGGCTCCTGGCTCCCAGTGTGCCCCCTTCCGCCTTCGGCTGCGTCCTACAGCCCGAGGGCCTCACACGCTGCATGTGGGTACTTCAGCCTGCAAGTCCACCCTCCACGCACATCCCTTCACTGACAGCTTTTCCCAGAACACCTCTGGGTCTAGGAATGGGCTGGGGAGACAGACCCAGGAAGCCTTGGAATCGAGCTCCGGACCAGCAGAGTCGGGAATTCCAGGGCTCAGGCTAGAAGAGAGGTTGTGGGCTCTGGGAAACAATGTCCCCTTAGCTTTACAGACTCCACACCCCCTGGGGAGACACAGCCTTCTGCAGTGTGGGGCCAGACAGAGGGTTAAGGACAGGACTGGTTTAAGGGCAGCACTGCTATTTGGTTTCCTCAACTTCTGGTCACCTCACAAATGTCCCTGGCAGGCACATTGGCTCAAAACTCACAAAACAAAATATTATTGGAAAATAAAAATCTATTAGCTCTAGGAATATGTGAGTTACTCTTTGAAAATGTCAATTATATTTTACCTGAATATATAGTTGAAGTACTGCTGGTCGATGTCACTAAGGAATAAGAAAAGAAAAGAAAGATAAAACATATAGTAATAGAAGTGTTTTACAATCACAAAGTTGTTATATTAATAAGTTATGTCTATTTATAAGTTACTACATTTATAGATTATCAATAAACAGTAAGAAGAGTACTTCATACTCAAAACTAGTTCCTGGCTCATTTTAAAAAAACATTTCCTAGTTTAACCCAGTCACACCCTTTCCACTTATGGCTGATCATCTCTTACACGTTCATTTGCCACTTTAAAGAAGTGTCAACTATCTCAGACCAGTGGACTAGCTCCTAGGGCTACTATATTTGACAAATAAAAATACAGGATACCCAAATAAATCAGAATTTCAAATAAAGAATAATGTTTTAGTACAAGTATGCTTCAAATATTAAATGGTACATACTTACACTAAAAAAAATTACTACTTATCTGAAATTCAAATTTAACTAGGTATCCTGTTTGGGGAGGGGGGACGTGGTTTTTTCTTTTTTAGTCCTCACCTGAGGATATTTTTCCATTTATATTCAGATAGAGAGAGAGAGAGAGAGACCATCGATATGAGAGAGACACATCGATTGGTTGCCTCCCTCAGGACCCCGATGGGGCTGGGGACCGAACAGCAACCCAGGTACGTGCCCCTGACCAGAATCGAACCTGCGACTCTTCAGTCTACAAGGCAATGCTCTAACCACTGAGCGAAACCAGTCAGGGCGGTATCCTATATTTTAATCTGGTAACTCTACTGGCTTTTTGCTGCAAAAACACTTCATTAAAAGAACAAAAGATGCTCTAGGAACCCAAAGTCACACATGCTCAGCGTGTACAACCTGCTCCCAGGAGTCATTCCCTCCAGAAGCCAGATGGCCCATGTCAGGGCTCTGACCTCACAGGTCCAGCCCAACCGAGGCCTGAATTCTCTTTCTCATTTACATTCACCAAGGCTGGTCCATTGACTGCCCACAACAAAGGCCTCATTTTACCCCAACACAGAGCTACTGACTGGGGAGATTTCTGGGTCTAAACCGAGTCAAGTTAGAAAGGGGCTGAGGAAACAAGAAAAAAGAGTTGTGCTCCTGAGCTAGAGGAAGCAAACTGGGGTCCAAAGCAGCTGGTCCCATAATTTTTTTTTTAGAGAGGAAGGGAGGGAGAGAGAGATAGAAACATTGATGACAGACAGAAGCATCGATCAGCTGCCTCCTGTACCCCCCTACTGGGGATCGAGCTTGTAACCCAGGCACATGCCCTCACTGGAAATTGAATGGGGCCTCTTAGTCCATGGGATGATGCTCAATCCACTGAGCCACACTGGCCAGGCATTTTTTTGTTAAAATGTCATCTAAATGGCTGCCCTTGAAGGAAGAGGATAGAGACGTCCCTGTTTTTCCCATGCTGACGGCTGGCAGGTTTCAGATCCTAGTGCACCTGGCCTGGAATAGCTCAAAAACAAGAGAAAGGGTCTGGGAGTCAAGCCTGCTGCCCCCACTGCAACCCAGACTTGCAGAATCTCTGGCTAAACAAAAGCAGCTCCACTCTGGCCGGTTTGACTCGGCGGTTGGAGCATCAGCCTGCAGTCCAGAGAGACCCGGGTTCGGTTCCCTCTGGGGGCGTGTACCTCGGTTGCGGTTTGTCCCCGGCCCTGGTTGGGTTGTGCAGGAGGCAGCCACTCCATGTGTCCCTTTCACGTCGATGTTTCTCTCTCTCTCTCTCTCTCTCCCTCCTACTCTATCTGAAGAAAAAATGAAAAAATGTCCTTGGGTGAGGATAAAAAATAAATAAATAAATAAAAATAAACAGAAGCAGCTCCTGGCACTGTGGGTCTCACCCCTTTCCTTGACCAAACAACACACAAAACTTGAAAAGCTTACCTTAAAGCATTGGGTTTCTGGGACTTCTGTAGTATCTTATAAGCCCCTGAAAAGGAAGCAACACGTGTTACTGGCACAGGGCATTCTGCACAAGGGGCTGCCTGAATTTCCAGGGAAGCCCAAAATCCACATGGAGAAGGGCCCCTCTTCCCTAGGAGGGTCCCCCGCAGCTGACAGGGGCGACCAACAGCACTTTGGAGGGTTTCAAGGATGCAAAGTGGATGATCCCGGTGTTGACATCGTTCAGTACAGAGAGTGCTGGGCGGGACGGCTCGTGATCAGCAGAAGAATGAACCACCACAGGATTTCCGGACAGCGTGTCACAGGGCACCGTGTCCCCGCTAGGACTACAGACAAGAAACGCTACACATAGGATTTGAAATATAGTCGGATGGTCCTTTTATTTCACCCAGTTATTATTTTTTTTTCTTTTGTACTGATGAGAGTGTCTTTGGCACAAGTTTCTGTATCTCTTCCCACCATTTTTAGAGAAAACCACTCAGCATCCCACAAGTGGACGTGAGCAAGCAGAACCAGAGCCGTGGTGAGTTAATTCATGTTTGTCACGAAAAAGAGGAGACTATATTAGAAATGGAACATTTGAGGAAACCTCCAAAACAGGAAAATCAAACCAGAGAATGTCCATTTGATTTTAACTTTGACACCCGTATTTAATCTTCCTATTGTCCAAAGTCACTAAGAAGTGGAAATACCATAAGATCCAAATAGTAAGCCTTAATTATTTAAGGAAGCATTCTTTTAAAACTTACCTACGCAGAATAAGTGAATTACAGCCCAGAAATATCCATCTGGATCAAACTGTAACACAGGATTTAAAGAAAAATGGCCATAGGTACTGACAAACAGAAACCAGAGTGGCAATCAGAAACCCCAAATGTCAAGCAAGGGTGCCAAGACAGGACTTTTGGGGCCTGAGTCAATCCCTCCTCATTTCCCATGCAGTTGCCTATGGCATCTTCCTAACATGCTCCCTGCTCCCAGCACCCCTTTCCCCATTTCCCACACTACCCCCACCCTGGTCTCTACAAGGCTAATCTGACGATGTCACCTATTGCTTAAAATCATTCGGCAGTCCTCCAGTGACTTCAGGTTAACATCCAAACTCATAACACCCAGGGATCCCTATGACGAGCCCTTGTCAACCCTTCCAGTGCCATCTACTGACCCCTCACCAGCTCAGCCCCTACTCAACTTCCCTGCTTTGTCTCCGCAGGAGTTTATCTCATTCCACACGATTTCACTTATCACCTGTGTCTGCATCCACCCACACTTGACTGTAAATCCCGGGAAGCCAGGACTTAGCCCAGAAGCACACACGTACGTAACAGGTGCTCAATGAAGTTGAAGCCCAGCATACTTAGGACACCTCCAGGCCTTTGCCCACACCTTTCTTCTTCTCCTGGACAACTCTTCCTCACCCTTCAAGACTTACATCCAGAAAGCTGAGCCTGGCTCTAGCATCAGCAGGATCTGGGTTAAATTCTAAAATCCCACTTATTTGTTAGCCGGTGACATTTCGGGCCACGTTAATCTTTAGCTCTGAAATGGGGATAATAATCACCCCTTGTGGACGGGTTGTGAGATTTTAAATAAGGCACATAAAGCCTTGGCACCCAGGCTGGCACAGCAGCTCCCTGCAGTCATGAGCTTTCCCGTCTCAGCGTCCCCAGGTCCTCGCGGTGCCTCCCAGCATCCCACACCTCCCGGGACACAGCCCAGGCCTCTGCGTTATAATATCTGTGCATCGTCTGTCCTCCCCCTTGCTCTGCCTAGACTCCGACTTCCGTCTGGGCGAGGACAATTCTTTGTGCCCCCAGAGCCTGCTCAGTGCCGGAGACTTAATGGAGACTTAGTAAATGCCACCAGGGGAGAAAAGAAAAAAAAAAAGACCCAGCAATGAAATGACTACTGGGAGGGAGGGGTGGGGCCTCAGTGCCTTTGTAATGAAGGAAAACAGGATGATGAAGTGAAAATCACTCTGCAGATGAGGCCCTGGGGTGAGAAGAAAAAAAATCCACTGGGCCTCAATGCGTGAGGCTGGAGCAACTTGGGCACTGGCTTTCAGGCTCTCCCAGAACACAGGGAGGGCAGACAGCACCCCACAGCACCGAGGCCAGAGCGCTGCAGGCCACCTGCCACCGCCTTGGAGAAAAGGCAAGAACCTGAAGAAACGTGTTACCTTGGCCAATAGGTATCCGACCTGAAAGCATTAAAATGCCTTTGGCCCTGGCCGGTTTGGTTCAGCGGTTAGAGTGTCGGCCTGCGGTCCTGAGAGACCCGGGTTCGGTTCCCGCTAAGGGCGCGTACCTCGGTTGCAGTTTGTCCCCGGCCCTGGTCGGTCGTGCGGGTGGCAACCACTCGATGTGTCCCTTTCACATCGATGTTTCTCTCTCTCTCTCTGTTCCTCTCTCTCCCTCCCAGTCTACCTGAACAAGAAATGGAAAAATGTCCTCGGGTGAGAATAAAATGCCTTTGCACAGGCCAGGATTTTTCTGATTCTAAAAGGAAGGACTAGGAAATTCTACTCACACGTGCAGGCTTCAGATAGTAAAGGATACTTGGAAGGCAAAATGTGTTTACCTGAACTTACCTGGGAGTCATTGAAGGGCAGGTATCCTGCAGCGGCCAGGAGGAAGAGGGCACTGTGGAGGGAAATAGAACAAGCAGCTTCACTTTTCGACATCAGAGAATTTCCCAGAGAGCACGGAGGCTGAAATACATGGACTGGAGCTTGGCTGAGGCAAAGCCCAGGTCCCCTGTTCAGCCTCTGAGAAGCCCACTGCCTCTGCTGTGTGCTACTGTGTGCTCCTCTGATAACCTGCCACTTTCCCAGAGACAGGCATTTGCAAAACCAAAGCTGGCTCACTGAAGAAAAACAGTATGCCTGTGAAACACATAATAACAGAAGATGTTTTAAAGCTATGGATCCTCACCCAGCAGGTGTGGCTCAGTGGCTGAGCGTCAACCTCATGCCCCAAGAGGTCGCAGGTTCAATTCCCAGCCAGGACACACGCCCTGGTTGTGGGATCAACCTCCAGTAGGGGGCATGCAGGAGGCAGCCAATCGATGTTTCTCTCTCTCTCTCTCTCTCCCTCTTCCTTCCTATCTAAAACTCAATAAAAACATATTTTTAAAAAGTATTATGGATGGGTGAATCTAAGTAAAACATATATGCAAATTCCTTGTAATATTCTTGCAACTTTTCCATAGGTCTAAACTTTTTTCTCAAATAAAAGGTTTTATTAGAAAAATCCCTCATCCATACTAAACTATTTACAGATGCAATGCTATGGTGCCTGAGATTTGCTGAAGTGAGGAGGCACTGGGTGGAGGCATAAGTTGAAAACTATTGAAGATGGTGATAGGTATACAGGGATCATTATACTATCCTGTCTATTTCTATACATGTTTAGAAATTCCCATACTAAGACTTTTTAAAATTCCTTTTTTTGAAAAAAGTAATCCTTACTGTAGAAAGTATTACAGATTCTCCCCGTGCACAACAAACTAGATGGGTTTGGAAGTTCATTCCAACACCCTGCCAACACCTTGGTTTCAGCCTGGTGAGATTCTAAACAGAAGATTCAACTCAATCACCCTACACCTGGACTGCTTACCTACAGAGCTGTGAGATAGTAAGTGGGTATTGTTTTAAGCCATTAAAAATCATTCTTGCACCAAAAAGTGACATTGCCACTCACAGATATTTTCAGAAGGCTACCCTCACTCATTGGAAGGTCCATTTAGAGCTATCTTTTGGAGTAATCATTGGTTTTTAGTAAATCTCTTCTAGGTTTCATATAGCAAAAGATCTTGCCTTTAGCTTTCCCCATTCTCTCCTCATAAAAGAAGGCACCAGAAAACCCCAAACCCAAATGATCACATACTATCCCCCCCCCTTTCCATTTCACAAGGCAGCACAATATGTAAAGTGGGCCCCTTCACTTGACCATTCCATTAGCCAGCAAACAGCACTGGATCAAAGGCATGATCAGAAGCAGAGACAGCATTTTTACTTTTAGGGGACTCTGTCATATGACATCTCCTACCAATATATAGTCTATATACACATAGAATTCTATATTTTATATGTACATATATATAACACACAAAAAGCTGATATTTTTAACCCAAGTACACTGACCATCGTGATGTTCATCACTTCTGTCCCCAGCCTCATACACTGACAGTCCTGACTGTTGTCATCACATGCACAGTTGTAAGTACCAACAGACTAGCATGGCTGGCTGGGCCCAAGGCAGGAGGACTGGCACTGAGGAGTGCTCAGAACAGGGGCTTCACGACCTTGGGAGGGTCAGGACAACATGGGACATCCTGAGGCACAGGAAGGTTCTCCTCTCCAGCTCACCAACTATTTTTCTCCATCCCACCAACTTTTTTTTCCCTTCAGCCTCTTCAATTTTCTTTCTTTTTTTTTTTCTTTATTGATTTCAGAGAAAGAAGAAGGGAGAGGGAGAGAGAGATAAAAACACTGATGAGAGAGAACATCGATTGGCCGCCTCTAACATGCCGCCCCCCCACCCCCCCCAGGGAACCTGACCCACAACCTGAGCATGTGCCCTAACCAGGAATCGAACCGGCGACCTCCTGATACATGATTCGATGCTCAACCACTGAGCTACATTGGCCAGGAAGCCTCATCAGTTTTCAAGGCACACACACAAATGGAAGACTCCAGGCACCAGATTGCCAAGGAGCTCAGAGGCAAAGGGATCAGTGGAGGGAAGTTGTCAGGGAGGTTTTCTGGGATGGCACAGGAATAGGAAAGTTTTAGGTGGGAGAAGAGGAAAGTCCTAATGAGTTTGGTGTCTACCTTCAGTGGAAGGCTTTATAAAATATAGGACACTTTCTCACCCACAGGCAATGGATCCCCTCAAACAGACAACCCCTTGGGGCTGAGGGGAGGTGGGGACAGCCAAGTGTGAGACAGCCCCTGGTTTCCCAAGTTTGGCCTTGAGCAATACCTATCAGGTATAGTGGGCTTTACTGCCTCTCTTTAACACCTGCTAATCTTTGTGTGTATTTTTTTTTTAAGTTTTTTTTCTTTATTGTTTAGAGAGAGAGGAAGGGAGAGGGAGAAAGAGATGGAAACATCGATGAGAGAGAACATCGATTGGTCGCCTCCTGCATGCCTCCCACAACCTGGGCATGTGCCCTGACCAGGAATCGAACTGGTGACCTCTTGGTGCATGGGTTGATGCTCAACCACTGAGCCACACCAGTCGGGCACACCTGCTATTTTAAACAAGAGGGTAAGTCCTGATGTTTCTTTTTTTCCCCAAGAAGCAGCCTGTAATAAAGTAAAAAAAAAAGAGAGAGAGAGAGATTGAATGAAAGCCCAGAAAAATTTGAAACAAAAAGCATCTCTGTTGGTTTTCTATCTACAGGACTAAGCTTCGTAGCTCCTGGGAGGAGGCAGGAAGCGGACAGAGAACAAGGCATCCGAGTTGGAATCAGCACACCTGGGCACAGGGACCACCTGCCTGAGAGTCCAGCTGAGGAACTGAGGCACGGTGGGAGATGACACCTGCCCACCACCACTTTGCTGCAGCCGGAGATCACAACTCAGATCCCTGAACTCATAGGCCATGCTTCTTCCACCATGGGAATTCTTAAAAACCCAATAAACTGCAAATATTATTTTTAAAATGTTAAGTCATTTCCATGTTTTCCATTTTCATTCTCCATCAGTGTTGCACAACTCTTTGTCAAGTTTTGGGCTTCAACGACTGAAATCTATCACGGGTTGTTTTTGCCTTAGGAATAAATATTTCAGAAAGAGAAAGAGATAGTAAATTTTAGAATGAGACACAAAACAGGGATACATGAGTATTCATAATAAATTCCTCTGAACTCTCAAATATGAGCCTTCAACAAACAGTTTATCATTGAAGTTAAAAATCAGGCTAAATCTTATGTTTTAGAGGTTTGCGGGTTTGTTCGTTTTCTTAAACTTACCTACAGATCTTTGCAGGAGATGTTCTCTGTGTGGAGATAAAGAGATTTATTATTAGTCCTTAAAAACTTTTTTTCTCATAAGAAAACATTTAGATCAAGTTTATTGGAGGCTCAACAGTTGTTGCACTGGAGTGTTTGGTGAGGCTTTTTCTGCTTGGGCCAGATGAAGAATGACTCAGAGCTTCAGGGTTGAGTCACCTCGGCAAGGCACCATGGGTGTGCAGTGTTCCACTGTCCCTGTTCGAATCGTGTTTACTTGTGAGAAAACAAAATGCCGCTCGGGCCAAGCCTTCCCACGTCCACACACCACGAAAGGAAGAAAGAGAGGAACCGATGTCACCTGTATAAGAAAAGAAATTACGCTCGTGTTCCACTCCTATTCCAGCCTGTCTCTTTAAAATTTCCTCTCATTAGTCCAGCTCTGACTCTCAGTGGTGCTATAAATTCTCTGGTATGGTGTGTAAATTAAGAAACAGAAAGAAAGGAGGGACATTTGACTCCGCCCTTACAGAGAAGAAGAAAAAGAGCAGATTGGGGAAGTTTCAACTTGGCACTGACAGCCCCCTGAAAAGAAGAAATTCTGAGGCAGACTCTACCTTGCTCACCTCCTTTTCGTGAGTCAATTTAAGGGAATTAGTCACTGTGCTCAGGAAGAAAGTTCTAGCGGGGGAGCATCGATTGTTCTATACTGGACAGGGGAAATGGCCAAGCAGGAGAACAGATTAATTCCAAACATTTCAGAAGGGTTATTTTGCTGGCGGAGGACAAACTATGTTTTGCCTCCAGGTCAGAGGAAGTGTGAAGAGGGACCATATTGTTGAAAAGGCAAGCGCTGACAGGAGACACGGTGGTTTGCTGGGAAGGAGATCTTCAGTCTTCCCGCATCACTAAGTAATCCGGCGTGCACTGTTGTAATGAACAGATTCTGTTCGGGACAGGGCAGACGCTTGTGTCTTGAGATCCTTCAGCCTCTCGCCTTTGTGGGCCCTGCCTCAGCAGAGCACAGAGGACATGCCAACCTTGACCCCACTGCCCCCTGGTGGGCACACTTATCTCTTCAGTACGCAAAGGATGACCTGGCTCTTAACACCTGGATAACTGTCCCCATTATGGGGAAAATGTGTCACTAAAAGATTCTGAGCTAAATATAACCAACGTCTCGCCTGGCCAGTGTGGCTCAGTGGATTGAGCGGCGTCCCATGGACTGAGAGGTCCTGGTTCAATTCCCGGTCAGGGCACATGCCCAGGTTGTGGGCTCAATCCCCAGGAGTGGGCGTGCAGGAGGCAGCTGATCGATGTTCCTCTCTCACATCAATGTTTCTCTCTCTCTCCCCCCCCCCTCCTCTCTAAAAAATCAGTACGAATATATTTAAAGGACTTCCGGTCAAGATGGCAGCGTAGGTAAACGCGGTATCGCCTCCTCCCACAACCACATCAAAGTTACGACTGAACTACAGAACAAGCATCATTCAAAGTCACCTGAAATCAAGCTGAATGGAAGTCCTACAACTACGGAATTAAAACAGCAGCCTCGTCGAGACTGGTAGGAGGGGCGGAGGCAGACGGGCTGGTCCCACACCCACGTGTGGCGGATAAAAATCAGGAGGACACCTCGGCTGGGAAGGTCCTCCCTGAGGACTGAGGGATCCCTGTCCCACACCAGGTGCCCCGCTCAGGGTTCCAGTGCCAGGAAGAGAATCCCCATAACTTCTGGCTGTAAAACCAGCGGGAACTGAGGCTCAGGCAGCTGGAGCTCCAGGCAGCTCCTCTTAAAGGGCCCGTGCACGGACTTATTTGGACTTGCTCTGAATTGCTCCCTCTAAGCTCAGAGGGGAAGCAGCTGGAGGGGCGCCAGAGACATACAGGAAAGAACTGAGCTGTTTGGCACTGGAGCGAGGGCTGGAAAGGGGGCTTTCTCCTGGACAGACGTGCTGTCAGAGGTCTTTGTTCCTTAGGTGAGTCCTTCCCTGGGGCAGCAGATAGTCACCATATCTGGGACTCCAGTAACCTGGCCGCACTGTTTGCCCCACCCTGGTGATTCCCTGAGACCCTGTCCCACCCAACTTTCAGGCCCAACCAAGCTGTTTCCAGTTGCTTTACCATAGGATCGGCCTGTCTTGGATCCTGCTTCAGGTTTTCCTAAATTCTTTTAAACAAGCAGTATCTGGTCTCAGCTAGCCCCATACTTTCATTAAGTAATAAATAGAAACAAACACAGGGAGGCAGCCAAAATGAGGAGACAAAGAAACAGGTCCCAAATGAAAGAACAGAACAATATTCCAGGAAAAAAACTAAGCGAAATGGAGATAAGCAACCTAACAGATGCTGAGTTCAAAACACTGCTTATAAGGATGCTCAATTAATTTAGTGAGGGCCTCCAGAGCATAAAAAAGGACCAGTCAGAAATGAAGGAGGCACAGTCAGAAATGAAGGATGCACTAACTGAAATAAAGAATAATTTACACAGATTCAATAGTAGAGAAGGTAAAGCCAAGAAGCAAACCATCAATTTGGAATATAAGGAAGCAAAAAACACCCAATCAGAACAACAAAAAGAAAAAAGAATCCAAAAAAATGAGGATAGTGTAAGGAGCCTCTGGGACAACTTCAAGCGTGCCAACATTCGCATCTTGGGGGTGCCAGAAGGAGAAGAGAGAGAACAAGAAATCGAAAACCTATTTGAAACAATAATGGCAGAAAACTTCCCTAACTTGGTGAAGGAAACAGACATACAAGTCCAGGAAGCACAGAGAGTCCCAAACAAGATGAACCCCAAGAGGCCCACACCAAGACACATCATCATCAAAAAGCAAAAGTTTCAAGACAAAGAGAGAATCTTAAAAGCAAGAGAAAAGCAGTTAGTTACCTACAAGGGAGTTCCCATTAGAGTGTCAGCTTATTTCTCAAAAGAAACTTTGCAGGCCAGAAGGGAGTGGCAAGAAATATTCAGAGTGATGAAACTCAAGAACCTACAACCAAGATTACTCTATCCTGCAAAGCTGTCATTTAGAATCCATGGCCATATAAAGAGTTTCCCAGACAAGGAAAAGCTAAAGGAGTTCATCACCACCAAACTGTTATTATATGAAATGTTGAAGGGTCTTTTTGAAGAAAAAGATAAAAAATATGAACAAACAAAATGGCAATGGATACATATCTATCGACAATTTAATCTACAAACAAAATGAACAAGCAGAACAGAAACATTCTCATAGGTACAGAAAACATTTTGTTGGTTGCCAGATGGGAGGGGAGTTGGGAGAATGGGTGAAAAAGGTGAAGGGATTAAGAAGTACAAATTGGTTGCTAGACCGACAAACTTCAAAGGGAATGGGGGTTGGGGGTGGGAAGAAATAAACCAAAGAATTTCTGTGCATCTATGCATAACCAATGGACACAGACAACAGTGTGGGGAAAGGCAGGAGGGGGTGAGAGTGGGGAGGAGGAGGGTCAATGGAGGAAAAATGAGGAACATCTGTAATACATTCAACAATAAAGATACGTTTAAAATATATATATATATTTAAAAATAAATAAATATAACCGACATATCAATGGATTGGTAGAAGTGTAGGAACAGATAGATAGAGACAAAAAGGATAGCTCCAACTCCTCTATGAGTAACATGCTCACTCAGCAACTGTTTGGGGGCTTCCGTTACAGGGTAGCAAACCAGTCCAGTGCCTGAAAGAGCTCACCCATTCCACAGAAAGAATCCTTTTTTACTTTAAACCCCTCTGACTAAAGGAGCCCAGAACCTGAGATATGGAGAGTGAAAATGAGTAATGCCCCCGGGCTCCAGAAATACCTGGGGAGTTCATGTCTTTAGGCCCCTAAGTTTCCAAATCACCTAGTTGTAAGTCCTGGTGCTACACCGGGGCTCTGACTGGGTCAGTATATGCCTCAAAAGTCACACTGCCAAAACTCACAATAAATACCTGACATTACTATGGGTTAGCAGACTTACTCCGAGGCTACTCGCTCTGTGTGCTGCTCTTCTAAGCACTTTACAAGTATTGACTGACTGCATTACGAGTTAATTAACAGTCTTGGGTTATGTGCTACATGTAAGGACACCGAGGCACTGAGAAATTAGGTCAGTTGCCCAAGGTCGAAGGGCTTGGGACAAGGCGACCTAGCTCCAGAGCCCCACCTTTATGACACTGTACTGCCACAGCCCGCCTGCGGGTCCCGCAGTGACACTCCACCAGCCCTTTCAGGCCACTGGCCTTCATTCCCTGTTTCTGACTTGGGAGATGATAACCAGGCCCGGGATTATCAGGTGAGAAGCGAGTCTAGAGAAACATGTCAGTTCCATTTGGATCTCTTTGCATTTCAGAAACCCAGGAAATAGCCCGGTGGAAAACCAGAGGCCAGTGGGCCTCGGAGTCTAAGCTGAAGAGACAGGTCTGGGGATGGGGACTTGGGAGTCACCAGTGAACTGAAGGTGGCCGATGCCATGGGTGTGGATGAGATTGTCCAGAAAGTGTGTGGCCTGGGAACAAAATACTCCCGAGACAGAGCCCTGGGAGACCCTGAGGGGCAAACAAAGGGAAAAGCGTGGGTGGCTATGAAGAAAGAGCCAGAGGCCAGCAGGGAGGGGGAGCTAGGAGAGTCAAGAAGAGGGTGTCGGGTGGTGAATGGTGCAAAAGACCAACAGAGTCGCATAAATGGAGCCTTCAGCCGGAGCAATTTCCGGGTAATGGCGGGGCAGAAGCAGGAGCTGGTGGAAGGGGAGAGGGACACAAGGAGGGACAGCTTGGAGGCCGACCCTCTGTGAGGCGCAGTGGCTGGGAAGTGCATGGGCAAAGCAGCATGCTGGCTTTCCTGTCGAGTTTTGGTTTTATAAACGCAGTTTATATGCTAGTGGGTCTCCCAGGGTCAGCTCCACTCACAGCGGGCTGAGGGCAGGGGCATGTTTATGGGCCAAGGGAAATAAGCCAGCCGAAAAGGAGAGGTTAACCATCCACAAAAGAAAAGGGCAGGGAAGCCATGGGGCTGCCTCTGAGTGGCAGCAGCGGTGACAGAGGGCGCACAGGGGTGCAGAGCGGCCTCGGCCACGAGAGGGACCCCTCTCTCTCCTGCACACCTGTAAGAGGTGTGCTGCCTGAATGGCTTGCCAGCCTCTCTAGTTTAAAAGTTCCACAGTGTTTATGTGAAATCATTTCAAATGGGAAGATGTGAGAAAAAAGGAACTCCCAAAAGAGAGGCCGAATGAAAACCATCACTGATCATGTTAGTAAACACGGCTAACATGTAGAGGACCTACTACGTGCCAGAAGCTGTTGGAAGCACCTAACCTGTGAGCGGCGCTGAGCCCTCCGCACAGCTCTGTGAGTGACGCTACTGTCCCTTTTCACAGGCGGAGGCACAGAGGTGAAGAAACAAGTTCTGGCTCGTGTGAGGCTGAGCTGGGGCTGGGAAGAAAGAGGAGTGTCCCCTGGGCAGCCAATGCCCCCAGCACCCACTGTGAAGCTCCGACATGGCCGTACACATGGCGCTGGGACAAGCTGTGGGGGGAACTGCCAGGCCCACAGTCGCTTCCTCCTTGTGTCCCAAGGCCCCGGCTCAGGCCTGGCCCGGAGCGGGGTTCCATTCGGGTCAGCGAGCACTCCCATGTATGCTTGGTGAACTGAAGGGATGTCAAAACCATGGGCCTTGAAATTAATAACCACTGTCAGGCAGTCTTGACTGGAAACAGATGTCAGGACAAGCTAGACACTAATTCGAGCCATAAAAAGAAAAAAAAAAAAAAGGTGCGTCTTTGAAATTTAAAGCAAGGGAACTGAAACTCGCCTTCTGTGGCGTTACCATTTTACCTCTTTCTGAAAACACTTCTGGTGCCCACAGACGATAACTTCAGCGACGTTGTGCAGAGTGAGAAATACAGGAATGGGCTGAAAGAAAACAGAGTGAGAAGCATGAAGTAAATTTCTTTGATCTCATAATTACATAATTCTTGATTTCAGCTTAAAAATAAAGATCCGTGGGAACTTTTGGCAGCCGCATGTAAAAATCCTCTCCAGCAACAACTCTTCTGCATGGATTGGTGCTGTCGGTTGTACTCTTCTGCTTGGTTGGGTGGATGTAGAGGCTCCCCTCCTACAGGTATTCTCATCAACACACATTTCTCAAGCACCTGCTGTGTGTCAAGCACTGTGCCAGGTGCAGGGGGCACGCCCCATGAACAAGGTAGACCCATGACAGGGAGACAGCCCTACGGAGGTAAGAATTCGGACAGAGCACACAGAGAGGCGCACTTAACCCCATGAGGGGAGAGCAAGTCCCCTAGGAGGCAGTGAAGTATGAAGTCTAATGGAGACCTGGACGGTGAGAGTGAGACAAACACAACAGAGTACTGCAGCCGAAGAACACGCACTGGCCCAGACCAGAGTGAACCCCGCCCCTGCGGAACTGGGGGCAGTTGAGCGGGGTGGAACATAATGTGGAAGGGAGAGGTTGGGGAGAGGAACGTGGAAAGGTAATCACCACCACATCAGGGAATCAGGCTGTGCCGAGGGCCAAAGGGACCGCTGCAGAGTTTGAACGCAGTCAGTGACAAGATTTGAGCTGTGTGTTTAAAGCTGTGTGCAGAGTCCAGCCAGTGTGGCTCAGTGGTTGAGCGTCATCGACCCATGCATCAAGAGGTCGCCGGGTCGATTCCCGGTCAGGGCACATGCCCAGCTTTTGGGCCTGACCCCCAGCGGGGGTCATGCAGGAGGTGGTCAATGGATGTTCTCTCTCATCAATGTTTCTATCTGTCTCTCCCTCTCCCTTCCTCTCTCTCTGCAATCAATAAAGAAAACAAAATTAAAATAAATAAATAAAACTGTGTGCAGCATAGAAGACAGGAGGCAGAGATGGTTGCAAAAGTCTAGGGATATGGTAGACTGAACCCACCCCTCACCAAACAAAACAACCACGTCCTAATCCCTGAACCTGTGAATGCCACTTTACCTGGTAAAAAGGGATCTTGGCAAATGTAATTCAGTTGAGAATCCTGAGGTGGGGAATCTACCGTGGATTATCTGGGCAGGCCCCAAATGCAAACACACGCATTTATTTTTAAAAGGTGGAGACTTGACACACACAGAGGAAGAGACAGTGGGACCACAGAGGCAGAGACTACAGTGATAAAACCACAAATCCAGAAATGCCAGCCTCCATACTCCCCCTGGGAGCCACTGGAGGAAGGGGCCCTGCTGACATGCCTTGATTTCAGCCCAGTAATACTGCCTTTGAACTCCTGGCCTCCAGAACTGGCAGAAAATAAGTTCTGTGGTTTTGAACCACCCAGGTGTGTGGCAATTTGTTACAGCAGCCACAGGAAACTAAGACAAGGAATGACGAGATGGTGGCCTGAACTCAGTAGTAGCAATGAAGATGAAGAAGAGTATCTACATTCAGGAGACAGTTTTAGGAAACAGAACTGAGGTTAATATTTGAATGACTGGAATCAACTTTGCACCAAAAAAACAAAATAGGGAGAAAAAATAAAAAGGTAACACTTCAGTGGGTTATTAAGACACACAGAGTGCCCACTGCACAATGACCCTAGCTGGGCTCTTCGCTAAGAATGGCAGTCTCTCCTAATCTGATAGATAATCTTGACAAGGCGAGGGGGATGAAACAGGGCATGGGATTTTGTTATTGTCGTTGTTGTTGATGATGATGATGATTTTCCTAGAAGTCAGAAAAAGATAAAGAAATCAGACTGGGATTCAGGCCCCAGACCCACCAACTGCTAGTGGAACAGGACACTTATCCCAAACCTTAGTCTGCTCCTCTGAAGTATGAGGGTAACTGTACCTATGATCAGGAGATACTGGGAGGAACCATGGAAATAACATGGGTGAAGGACCTAGTGAGTGGTTCAGGAGCACAGCTCAAAAGGTTGTCTGTGGCCTGGCTGATGTGGCTCAGTGGTTGAGCACTGACCCATGCACCAAGAGGTCGCCAGTTCGATTCCCAGTCAGGGCACATGCCCACATTGTGGGCCCAATCCCCAGTGGGGGGCATGCAAGGAGGCAGCTGAATGATGTTCTCTTGCATCGATGTTTCCATTTCTCTCTCCCTCACCCTTCCTCTCTCTCTAAAATCAATAAAGCAAAAAAAAAAAAATGTTGTCTATATTAACTGGGAACCAAGCCTACCCTCAGCAACCTTCACAAGGACCCTGGACCGGGAAATTGTCCCAGCTTAGAGGGCCTTCTTAAAGATCACGCTACTCGCCTACTTCCAGATGAGTCGAGGCTTTATAATTCTGGAGGATATATTTTTACCTCACTTTTTAAACTTTTATAACTTCATAGCACTGCCCTATTTTAGCATTTTATTCTAAATAGCACTCTTTTATTTCTTTTTGAGTTCTTGCCTTACATTTTCCTTGCCTTTTTAACATTTTCTACTCTTATTTTATCTTTCATTAAAAATTCAATTCAAATTGCTTTTTCCTTTTAAAATCATACTTTATTTTCTAATTCTGTCTCCTGTGCTTCTTTTTATTCCTTTTGAAATTTTACATTTTGAATTCTTTTTTATGAGTTTTAAGATTGTTGAAGAGATTTTTTAATTGGCTTTATCCATTAGGCCCATGGTTGGCAAACTTGGGCCCTGGCCTTCTCGTTCTTGGCTGGAGAAGATAGCAAAGCCAACCTTGGCTAGGTTAACCGTGTGACACGTGAAAGTGAATAGAAAAGGGCAACCTGGATCTTATTTCTTTAAAATGAAGACCTTATATTTTAAATAGTTTGCTTCCTTGACTATAAAATCGGTAACGACACCAGATTTAGGACTAAGATTATGGAACTCTAGACCCTAAATCTAGACCTCAAGGAGGTTTAATTTTCTCAATTTTATAAACTGTGAACAGGTTTCTCAACCTTCCTAGGTCCCACTCTGATTAGACACAGATTCTGGAAAGGGATCTGTCAACACATATATGATTAATTTTTTAAGTACTGTAATAATAGCTACCAATAATGTGTTAAGCACAGGGGTAATTATGTTCATTGCATTCTCTTATTTAAACCTCTTCCCAACAACTACATTAGTGGGTGCTATTACCTAGATTTATAGGCAAGGAAACCAAAGCTTAGAAGATCAAGTAACTTGTTGGAGTGCTCACAGCTAGTTCAGGGACAGAGCCATGACTCCAATCCAGGACTAACTGCAAAGCTCACATTCCTAGCCTAAGTGTTATAATATCCAAATTACAGCAAGCCCCCCGTATAAACTTCCTGAACCTATACCTGTCCAAAGTCCAGTATGACTGGTGTGTTCCAAATCCTGCCAGTCTGCTTCCTCCAGTAATAAAACAGGTGATCTCAAATGGATGAACACAGAATAAACTCTATGCCATTTTTAAAAGGGATATGTTCCATTTCTACTTAAAAAAAAACAAACTAAATCTGAATTGCTCAAGCCATTTTTTTCTATTGAGAAGCTAGCAGGCTTTAGAAACAGTGATTCTGATCTGGCCAGTTTGGCTCAGCGGTTAGAACGTCAGCCCTCAGACCAAAGAGTCGCAGGTTTGATTCCAGTTAAGAGCACGTACCTCGATTACGGTTCTGGCCCCGGCCCTGGTCAGGGTCATGCAACCAATCGATGTGTCTCTCTCATATCAATGTTTCTCTCTCTCTCCCTCCCACTCTGTGTGAAAATAAATGGAAAAATATCCTTGGGTGAATATTTTTTAAATAATAATAAAAGTAATATTAAGGCAGTGTGCAAAATTCAATTACTGATTTTCCCTTGGCCTCAAACTCTGTGCACAAGTCCCAGTGTGATCTATACTAATAGTTCAGGAGACTTGCTGGTGCCTGATTCCTTTAGAAAACCAGCCCTTTATTATCTTTACGGAGTGAGGGTCAGTAGGACTTATTTTATCAAATCTGACAAAAACTCTGAGAAATAATAACAGTAATAATAACAGTTAAGATACATTGACTGTTAATTATGTACCAGACACTGGTCTAACTGCTTTTACATATTTAATCTTCATAATAACTCTATGAGGACAACACTTTTACATCCTCATTACACAGATGAAAAAATAGAGGAATATATTCTGGTTCTCTATTTTTTAAACCTATCTCTTAATACTTGGATGATGCAGATTCTTGCTTCTCGCTGAGGAGAACAGAAAAACAAGCATGCCTTCCGAATGGTCAAGACACTAGAAACAGCCTCAATAACAAAAGGTCCTAACATCTTTCATCAGGAAAAATGGCCCAAGACCAACTACCAAACAGCCCAAATCATCAATTTTGACACAAAATGTAATTGACCAAATTCAACAACACTGCAGGTCAATTCATTTAGTTATTTAGGGGCACAATTTGCAACTATTTTATTCTTAAAGTCCAATAGCTTAAAATTTGACATTTCATCCATGTACCATTGGAAATGTTTTTCTCTGGTTGTAAAGAGATATTGGAAACTATTACTTAAAATTTTTCATTATTGCCCTGGCTGGTTCGGCTCAGTGGTTACAGCGTTGACCTGCGGACCAAAGAGTCAAGGGTTCAATTCCAGTCCAGGGCTTGTACCTCAGTTGTGGTTTGGTCCCGGCCCTAGTCAGGGTTGTGTGGGAGGCAACCTGTTGATGTGTCTCTCTCACTTCGATGTCTCTCTCTCTCCCTCTCCCACTCTATCTGAAGATAGATGGACAAATATCTTTGGGTGAGGATTAAAAAAACCTTTTTATCATTATTCACATGCTTCCCAGAGTGGAATTCTGAAGACTTGAATGCTTTTGTTCAGGTGTTAGGACTGACTTAGAACAGTGTGCTATGGGAAATCGTGGCCCTACTCACAGGCACGGCCCTGGGTCACTCCACAGAGCTGTGGATGACTCCTTCTTAATATTTATAAAAGAAAGGCAATCCTACCTTCT